AATTAGTTATGCAAATGAAATTAATAGTTTTAAGCTATATGAAGTAAAATTCTGATAAAAGTCTAAAATAATTTAAAGGATGTGCCGAACATATCCTGCCAATGATTTTAAGAGGTTACTCAGCGCCACCTCTGAATTCATATTTCCGACAACCTGCTGCTACATGTTTTATAAAGGGCAGACGCTGTTAATTTTTAATTTGAATTCAGTTATATTTATAAAATCAACGAATGACTTTCATATTTGATTTTGCTTCGCTTTGCACCATTATATTTTTGTGCGGCTGTATGGCTTTTTATAAAATTTAAAATGAGAAACTGAGAAAACATTGGCTTTTGTTTTGTTTTCTTTGGCTTGTTGCAATGTCAAAGTTCATTCGACTAGGCTGTCAACTTGTCCTTTATTCTCACGACTTTATTGTGATTTTTTTTTCTTAGCTGAAGCGTTGTTTGCGTTTTTTGTTTATTTTTTTTTTCACATTTTTCCATGTCAGCAGCTGTGACATTTGAGTAAAGGAGCTGTATGGGAATTTCAATTCAATCTCTTTAATTTTATTTATGTGAAATAAAAGAACAGAATTTCCATGCATCCATATTTGTGTGCCATGCCGTTTGTTATATTTAATCAGCACTGGGGACATTTTATTTTTTTCCACCTTCATGTCAACCTTGTCAATTGCCCAACCATAAGGGCTTAACATTTTTGTCATATTCGTCGACGCAAGTTGGCATTTTAAAGATGCACGACGATACATATATGCATATGAAATATGTTGAAATATTCAAAAGAATGCCGAGACCATTTCATTGTGTGGGGTTAAGGCATGGAATGTACATATATATATGAATACATACATATGTATGTATGTACATATACGCTGTATCGGCGAGATATTACGCTGTTGTGGAAGTTACTATGGGATTTCTTGATGCATTAGTGTTGAGAAAAACTGGCAATTCGTATGAATCGATTGATTTAGTATTTTATTAGATGTATTGTCACTAAGAGAGAGGCAACTATGGCTACCGTTGAACGTGGTCAATGTTATCGAAGTTGAAAAGTTTGAAATTCAGCATTGGGGAGCATATAGTTACCATAGAGATTTATCGAAATTATTTAGGTTACAATATACAGGCACATCGCCAATGAAACAATTCAGAATCAAGCAGAATATATGAACATATTTTTTTTACAAATTAAAGGAAAACATGACGAGATACACATATGGATATTATCTAGTTGAAGCCATGAGAGAGCTAGCTCCGCCTACTCATTCGTATAAAATAATTGCCAGAGCTCTTAAGATTATCAGTTGCAAAGGTAAGCGCAAATACAACGAAGACCAATTGTACAAAGCTCTGAATGTTGGACTGAGATTTGGCGTTATACGTGAAGTCTGCAACAAGTATTACCTATATGAGTTCGGGCGTGTCAGTTCGACAGGTGAGATCACGTATGAGTTTAACAATAATCCATTGGACGCTGAGAAAGCTCGAAGTGTATCTGAAGGGCATATACTAACATTTCCAATGAAACGCAAGTGTCAGGACGATTGTGCTGCTTCTTTGAAGAGGTCGAAGCGTTGTTAAAATTTGGTTATGCTATTATTTTCGATGTCTTGAAAATTGTTCAATGTTAAAAATCAGAAATTAGCCCATTGCTCGTGAAATTTTAATTACAAGTTTAATGAAATGCAAATTGAAAGAAAGAAAAAAATAAAGTAAAAATTTACTATTTAACTTAAGGCAAAAGACATTGATTTAATAACAGTACCGCTCAAGTAAACGAACTAATTATATTCTCATGCCTATTTAAATTATTCCTTAAAGCACTCGTGTATCAGCTGCTTAAGCTGCTCAGCCTAACTGTTAGCTTACGTCCACCTTTGTGCTGGCCTAGATCCAGTGGCAGTAATTATGCCAGCTGCAACTAGACGCCTGTTGCTTACGGTCAACTTACCCCGTTGATGACTATAAGTCCAACTCAAAGACCGACACCTATCAGACGCGCATCTCGTCGATGGCTGCCTGTGGCACTTGCTGCTGCTGCTGCTGCTGCTGTTGTTGCTGCTGGGACGCCGACAATGTGGAGCTCATGGCTAAGCTCTCGCCGTGGGCGCTCGACATGTGGCCATGCGAGTGGGCGTGTATGTGCCCCTTGGAGGAGCTGGGCGCACTGCTGACTCCGCTGCTGCTGCTGCCGCCCGATGGCGTCTGATCGAGCAGCATATTGCCACCGGGCCCGGTTGCACCCATGCCAGAGTTGATGCTGCTGTTGGTGGTGGTCGTTGTCGATGAGGAGGCAGTACGCATCGGTGGGCGTGGACCACGTATATAGTGGGGCTGCATGCCCGTCAGCACCGCCCCGTTTGGCTGATGTTTACCAACCTGCTGCTGCTGCTGCTGCTGCTGTTGCTGTTGTTGCTGTTGATATTGTTGTAGTTCTGGAATGGAGATAGAGCAGGGAACTTGTAAGCTACTTATGTAGTTATGCATATGTCGGCATATTATCGAGCAAATGTTTGTTGACGAGCGGCGAAGCTAGCAGCAGCAACGAGTGCCACGGGCACAGTCACAGCCACAACCACAGCCGCAGCCCCAGCACCAGCACCAGAACAAAAGTCAATTTGTGAACAACAACAGCAACAACAACAACAAAAACAACGTTAAACATTAAACACACATCGTCATCGTTGTCATCATCGTTGCCTCATTGCCGTCGACATCATCATTGGCTCTGCTCCGCTTTTTATGCCATTCAATTGCCAACCAGTTGTTCTCCTCTCTAACCCGCTCCCG